AATGGAATGAAAAGTATTAAAGGAAATATAAATGATAGAATGAATTTAATTGAAGAAAAAAATTTCTAGTGTATTAGAATTAATGACAAAGATTAATAATAATCATTCTGATCAACATTAAAAATTTTAATAGATTGGTTAATTAAATTATATATATAGTAGATAAACATTGTAACTTTAATTTATATATGATTTTTAAAAAAAAAATTTCAATAATCAAAATGACCAATGTGTTATTTATTAATAGACCAATCACCCAAAAATCCTGTTACCAACCAGTAGAGTTGCCTTTCTAAACTCTAACATCTTTTCTAAACTAGTTTAGAAACCCTAAACAGGACCCCGAACAATCTTAGAAGATGGTACATTTGAAAAATACCCACTTTATTACCATTTTTGGAAATAATTTGCAAGATCATCACAAAATTTATCCTAATTAAGAAATGATATTCGATTTTGAGGGCTATTTCTACCCAAAATTGAAATGTACATCTCCTAAGATTGTTCGGGGTCCTCCCTAAACTATTTTCGAAACTAACCCGAAACTCCTAAACCAGTGTATAAAATTCAGCGAGTGTGTGTCACGTTACATTATGCACGTGCATACATTCTTTGGTGATTTTAATTTAAGAAAATTTCTTAGCAAACACGTAGTGTATGTACATGTGTCACATGCGTTACATAATAAAATTTGCATCAATAAAAAAAATTAACTTTTTTTTAAACTTTTTTAGAGTGTGTGTTTTGCTTGAGGGTTTGGGACACATAACATTTCATTTTGCATCTTACATATGATTTGTATGTGTGTATATATAACACAAGACAAGGTTGATTTGTGAAAATGATGGGATGATCTGATATGATAAAATAAAGTGATGGTCAGAGATTGTGTGGTTGGCACTTGTTCAACTTCCCAAAAAAATGGGCCAAAAAAAGGTTGTTTGGATCAAATGATGGGATGATCCAATGTGATTGTGAACCAATATAATGTAAAATAATGTGCAACATAACATCATGTTTACACACATAGTGTACAAATAGAAACTGCCTTAATTTAATTATTATAATAATTATGAATATTGTATTATTCTTGTTTTTTATTTTTCCAAGGCTCTAGTGCTTTTTAAAAATCAAAAATTTCAATTTCTGATCCATTATTAAATGATCATCTAATGCATCTACTACATTCATTTGGTTTCTCAAATTATTTTTAATTAACTTTGTTTGAGAAAATATTCTTTCTACATGAGCATTAGAAAGGTGTATAAGAATTCCTATTCTAGCAACTAATAATATATTTGAATTATTAAAAGGAAAATCCTCATCAGATCTAAATGTGTTCCACAACTGAATGAATTGATTTCTCTATTATTATTTTATAGTGCTGGAAGAAAAGTTTGTTGAATTTATTCTTGTTTAAGTTCTTCTTTGTCAGTGATTCCATTAAATTTATTTCCATTTGCAATTTTAATTTCTCCATAGAAATTACCTATAATTGCATATGTGTGACAATAAATTTGAGTTTATTTATTCCGTGCACATATGTTTTGTGGTGTAACGTTATACCCTCCCGCTGAATTTTATACACTGTCCTAAACTGATTTTATAGCATATGATGATTATCTAAATCATTCGTTTTCTCTATTTTCTCTTCAAGTGATCAAAGTTTTTATCAAAGTTCATTTTATTTTGATATTATTGTCCTGACAATTAATTAATTATTAAATCATTGGTTTAGTTTAAAAATATGTTATAATTTTCTTATTTGTTCTAATATAATTTTTCTTAAAAATATATAAATTTTTTTAATCACAATAATGTCAAACAATACTGATGTAGATATAAATAGTTTATCAAATTCAAAAAAACTTGGTGGGTGACCAAAAAATGCAGTTTGGCAACATTTCGAATGTTATCCCTCAAAACATCCAGGACATTTTGGAGCCAAATGCAAAGCATGTAATTGTAAATGGAGTAATAGAGCTGTTAATAAACTGCAAGTCCATTTGGCACATGAATGTGAATACATTGAAGAAGAGATCAAAAAAAGATATATGTATATTGTTGCAGAAATTTTAAGAGATGAAATTGAATGTGTTTTATCCAGAATTGGGCCAAACAAATTTGCAGCTGTAGTGAGTGACAATGCTTCAGCAATTCTTAGTGCAAGAAAACAAATTTCAGAAAAATATCCTTTCATTTTGAATACCAATTGTATAGCACACTGTGTGAATTTGATAACAAAAGATATTATGAGTATGTTTTTTTAAAATTTAGGCTTTTTTAATATTATTTTATGGTTTAATAATCTATATTTTAAAAAACATTACAATTAGAGCACTCCTTTCCATATAAAGTTGTTAAACAATGTAACAAAATTAGCCATTTTTTTAAAACTTCCCACAGAGTTGGAGCATTATTAAGAAAATATATTGATGAATATGGTATTAAAGGTGGTGGACTTTGTTCGTACACACCAACTAGATGGACTTCAATGTTTGAGACCACTAACTCTGTCCTCCAACTCAAACAACCATTGGAAAAGGTTTAAATATTAATTACTTTCTTATTTATTTTTTATTTTGTCATTTGTAAGATTATAATATATGATAACAAAATTTTCAATTTAAATAAAGATTTATGAAAGACATAAAGATTTACTTACAAATGATAAGGTGAAACATATTCTTGGTCTAAGAGGTTTTTTTCATGATGTTGGGCTGGTAACTTCTGTATTGTTGCCATTACAAAAAGCAATTCTCAATTTGGAAGGAACAAATGTTAACCTTGCAGATTGTTTCATCCAACTTGTAAAACTTGCAGTAAATATCAACAAAATTTCACATGAAGATGGATTAATGAATTTAGGAACCATTGTATTAAAGTCATCAATAATAGATGGGAATCTTTTGAAATACATCCATATTGGCTTGCATATTTTCTTCACCCATTATACCATGGTAAACATTTAACATTTTTTTTTATTATAAAAGAATTTTATATATAAATTATTGACATCTTATTTTTGTTTAGGAGTTGGTTTAAAATCAACTATTTGGCCAAATTTAACTAAATATGCAGGAGAAATCATTTGGAATATGAATAAAAAAAATCACTCTAATAATAAAGTAGCAGAATTAATAGGTCAAATGGCAAACTTTAAAGGTTCAGAAGGTGTTTTTTCTATCCAATATTCTTCTTCTTACACAAGACCAAGAACTTGGTGGCAAGTTATTGATGATTCAAATGAATATGTAAAGAGTTTAGCAATTAAAATTTTCTCAATCACTCCTCATAATGCTGCTTGTGAGAGAGCATTTTCTGCACTAGGATTCTTGTATGGAAAAAGACGGCAATGTCTTAGTTTGTCTACAATTGAAGATATGGCAAAAATTAGATATTATTTATATTCAAATATTAAAAATGAGTTGAATTATGAATCTAAAGAAAGATCTGAAGAAGAACTAAGATCTCTAGTCCAAGGAAGTGGATTTTTTGATGATAATGATGAAGACTATGATGAAGGTGATAGTGAAGATGATAGTGAAGGTGAAGAAGGATTAGAAATACCAAATGAAGATGTTTATGTTTAATTATTAATGAGATGGTTGATTTAAATAATCCAATATTTAATGAGGATTATGATGATTTAAATGATAATATTGAGGTAGAAGATGAGAATATGGAAGAAAGTTCTGAAGAAGTATTTGATTTTGATGCAATTCCTGAAATTTCACCTCCATCAAATATGTAAAAATTATTATTTTTTAAAAAAATTTTATTAATAATGATAATAGTAGTATTTTGGTTGTTTTTTTTTTATTAAGAAAAAATAAAAAAATAAAGATTTATTTGTTTGGTTTGGAATTTTTTGGAGTTTCGAAAATAGTTTAGGAGTTTCGAAAACAGTTTAGGAGTTTCGAAACAGTTTAGGAGTTTTGAAAACAGTTTAGGAGTTTCGAACAGTTTAGGAATTCAGGCCCATTTTCTAAACCAATTTAGAAGGGTTTAGATTTCGAATAGTTCTAAACTCATGAGTTTCGGAAGGCAACTCTACTTTACAGTAGAAATAATGTCCACCTGGTAAGGTACTAAATGCACAAGCTGTCAACATATATTTCAAAGTTTCTTCACTTGATTTGCAATAAAGATGCAATGGAAAGTCTAATTGATTTGATGGATGATATGAATTATCATCTCTCTGAGTCAATTCAAATATTAAAATTGGTGGATAAAAAATTATATATTCTTCATAATTAATTTTCCAATTAATATATACAAGGATGGAACACTCCAATATTTTATGCATAAATTTTCACTATCTTATTCCCTAATCATATGTGCAGGTCAATGAGGAGGTATTATCAAAATATTTTAATATTATGCATACATCTTTAATCAGGACTATTAGAAGGCCAATAAAACTTTGGTGAAAAATAATTGAATAGACCGAGTAATCCTACTATGAACAAGTATTCAACATCTTTAATAAAAAATTTCTTTTTTGTCTTTCAGTCTCCATATAATTATCAATTTGCATTTTTCTTTTGACTAAAAACAATCATGGTGATAAATGTAATTTTGATCCCTGTAATTCACTTTGTTTTGTTGCAGCATGCCCCATATATAATTTATTTGTAATTATTTTGGATACTTGTATATACGTGGTATGGCTGAAAAGTAATGAGAATCATTGTATTACTCAATAATATGTGGGTATACCTAAACAAAGTTAT